AGGTAAGGGCAAGAGGGGGCTAAACTCACGTATATAACAAGTCCATTCTTGAGATAACTAATCCAATCCCAAGCTGAGAACATTAATCCATTTGTGAGGGCAGAGTCCCTGTGATCTAATCACCTCTTATTAGGCCCCACCCCACAAAGCTGCTGTACTGGGATTAAGTTTCTAACACATGAATCTAGGGGACACATTCTAACCATAGCTCTACTGTCCTCACAGAATTTAAGAATTACTGTTCTCACAGTAGATAAGGGAGAGACAAGTAATAAGTATTTCTGACAAAAATGATAAATGCCTTATTACCAACATGGCTGCAAGCACACAGGTCTGTTCAGATTCTTGGAAGGTTTTTCTGAACACCTGTTGTGTCTCAGGCTTTGAGGATATGGAGGGAGAGACCTATAGTCTTGAACCTCAGGGAGCTAATTGATCATCACACAGAAACAAAAATGCTTAACTGTTGCATTCAGGTAAGTTCCTGAACTCAAAATATAACAGCAGTCTCCTTTAGGATCTTCTGCTTGAAAAAGGAATCCAGTATTAGGTCACACCTGAACTCTCTGACCTATTAAAGATGTGCCAGTTCCAGAGTCCTGTGAGATAAGCACCTTTCCTTCCAAGGTGCTGAACAAAACAAACAGGAAGAGACTACAGTGCTCGCCTGACAGGGCCTTACAAGTTAAATCAAAAGAAGAGGCCAGGCACGGTGGCTCATGCCTGTAATCCCAGTGCTTTGGGAGGCCAAGGCTAGAAGATCACTTGAGGTCAGGAGTTTGAGACGAGCCTGGCCAACAGGGCGAAACCTCGTCTCTACTAAAAATACAAAAAAAAAAAATTAGCCAGGCATGGTGGCAGGTGCCTGTAATCCCAGCTACTTGGGAGGCTGAGTCAGGAGAATCACTGGAACCAGGGAGGCAGAGGTTGCAGTGAGCCAATATCCTGCCACTGCGCTCCAGTCTGGGCGACAGAGTGAGACTCTGTCTCAAAACAAACAAACCAACCAACCAAAGAGCCAAACACAGTGGCTCACACCTTTAATCCCAATATTTTGAAAAACTGAGGTGGGAGGATCAATTGAGCCCAGAGCCCAGGAGTTCGGGGTTGCAGTGAGCTATGCAGGGAGCTGAGCAACAGAGAGGCTCTGAAAAATACCTTTTTGGGACAATTAGTATAATCTGAATGGGGTCTGATGATTATATAGTAACAATGTATTCAGAGAGGCCCTGAGAAAGATTTTTTTGGGACAATTAGTAAAATTTGAATGGGGTCTGATGATTTATAAAGTAACAATGTTTCAATGTTCATTTACTGATTTTGATAGTTTACATTGTGGTTCAGTAAGAGGATAGTTGTAGAAAAATCACATTAAAGTATATCAGGGTGATGGATCATCATTCTAACAATTTATTCTCAAAGAGTTCAAGGAAAAGTCTTCATATTGTATTTGAAATCTCTGTTAATCTGAGACTGTTTCAAAATGAAAAAATTCTTGAAAAATTACTCTTCAAAAAACAGAAAATCGATGAACCTTGAAAATATCATGCTAAGTGAAATAGGCCAGATACAAAGTAACAAATACAGTATGATTCCACTTACATGGGTTTCCTAGAAGAGGCAAATTCATTGACAAAGTAGATAGAGTAGAGGTTACCAGGGGTCAGGGAGAAAATGAGGACTTACTGTTTAGCAGATACAAAGTTTCTAGTTGGGGTGACGAAAAATTTCTGAATATGAACAGTGGTGATGGTTACACAACACTGTGAATGTACTTAATGCCACTAAATTGTAAAACTCAAAATAATTTAAATGGTAATTTTTTTTTTTTTTTGGAGACAGTATTGTTCTGTCACCCAGGTTGGAAGTGCAGTAGCGCAATCTCGGCTCACTGCAACCTCCACCTCCTGGGTTTAAGTGATTCTTGGGCCTTAGCCTCCCAAGTAGCTGAGATTACAAGCATGCACCACCATGCCCAGCTAATTTTTGTATTATTTTTGCAGAGACTGGGTTCCGCCATGTTGGCCAGGCTGGTCTCGAACTCCTGGCCTCCAATGATCCTCCCACCTCGGCCTCCCAAAATGCTGAGATTACAGGCATAAGCCACCACACCTGGCTAAAATGGCAAATTTTATGTTATGTATATTTTTCCACAATAAAAAAAAGTGAGGGGAGTTTTTTCTAAGTGCCCAATAAGTGTTGTTTCTATTATTTAACAGATACAAAAATATTCGCTTCAAAATTATTTGTAAATGTGAACAATTAAAAAGTAGTTTAGGGAGTCTCTCTAAACCTATTCTGGTTCAGAGGGCTGCCTGTTAAAAAAATTTTTTAAAGAGCCAGGTGTGATGGCTCACGCCTGTAATTGCAGCACTTTGGGAGGCCGAGGTAGAGAGATCACAAGGTCAGGAGTTTGAGAAAAGCCTGGCCAATATGGTGAAACTCCATCTCTACTAAAAATACAAAACTTAGCCAGGCGTGGTGGCACATGCCTGTACTCCCAGCTACTCAGGAGGCTGAGGCAGGAGAATCGCTTGAACCCAGGAGGCGGAGGTTGCAGTGAGCCGAGATTACGCCACTGCACTCCAGCCTTGGCAACAGAGTGAGACGCCATCTCAAAAACAAAAAAATCTAGAAAGAAATAAACTAGTTGAACTATTCCACAATAAAGAAATTATTAAATTATACAGAATTTTTTTTTACCCCCCAGGCTATTATTTTATAACCAGTTCATAAATAGTTTCTTGGGGGATGATATATTACTTACACATCTACCATGTAGTAAAAATGTATGTATATGTGTGTGTATCCAACTACTTCGTCGGAGTGATTCCTGTGGTTTGGAATTGCTGGGGCCAAGTTTATGCAAAAATCTACATTTTTGAGTAAACTCCTCATGACTAGAGTAAGTTTCCTGAGTATCTGAGAACTCTTCATTTCCTAAAGTTGTACAAACATCAGATATCAATATTTGTAAGCATTGATAATGTAATTTATAACGAAATTGCTTTCTCAACTATTAGTATTAACTATATGTCATCTTCATATAGCCTTATAACTCATTTGTGCTATTCCATTTTCCTCTGTTCCTTTTATTTTCACTTCCCGTGTAATGTTAGTCTCTTTGTACTGATTTCTGAAGAGTTCATTTATGATTAAAGATGTTAATATTTTGTCAAGAATTGCAAAAAATAAAAAGAAAAATTAATTTTTCTTTTTTTTTTTTTGGCCAGGCAGCGGCTCACATCTATAATCCTAGCACTTTGGGAGGCCGCGACAGGTGAATCACCTGAGCTCAGGAGTTCGAGACCAACCTGGACAATATGGCGAAACCCTGTCTCTACTAAAAATACAAAAATTAGTCGGGCATGATGGCAGGCACCTGTCATCCGAGCTACTCAGGAGGCTGAGGCAGGAGAATCACTTGAATCTGGGAGGTGGAGTTGCAGTAAGCCAAGATCGTATCATTATACTCTAGCCTAGGTGACAGAGTGAGGCTTCATCTCAAAAAAAAAGCATTTAAAACAGCCCTGAGGCTGCACATGGTGGCGAATGGCTGTAATCCCAGCACTTTGGGAGCCCAAGGTGGGCAAATCATGTGAGCCCAGGAGTTCAAGGGTGCAGTGAGCCATGATTGCACCACTGCACTCCAGCCTGGGTGACAATGAGACCCTGTCTCAAAAAAATAAAACAAAATAAAATAAAACCGTATTGAGCTGAGCCAGGCGTGGTGCCATAAGCCTGTAGTCCCATCTACTCCAAAGGCTGAGCAGGTCAAGATCACTTAAGCCCACGAGTTCTAATCCAGCCTGGGCAACATAATGAGGCTCCATCTCTTTAAAAAAAAAAAAAAAAAGGACTAAGTGTATGATGCTCCCTGTTTTTAAGCAAAACAGTTTGAGTGTAAACATGAGTGGCTGTTTCTCTTAGGTGGGATTATACATGATTATTCTTGCTTTCTGTACATTTACAAGAAATATGATTTACTTTTATAATCAGGAAAAGTTTAAAGTTATAAAATTAAGAAAATGAAAAAGTATATTCACTTATCTAAAATCCTGTGATCTTTGTTTTGTTGTTGTTGGGTTTTTGGTATTTACTATAGTGAAACAGAAAAGTTTTAACAAGTAGTTTAAATCAAGAATCCTAGGCCAGGAGCGGTGTCTCATGCCTGTAATCCCAGCACTTTGGGAGGCTGAGGCAGGCGGATCACAAGGTCAGGAGTTCGAGACCAGCCTGGCCAACATGGTGAAACCCCATCTCTACTAAAAATACAAATATTAGCCAGGCGCAGTGAGAGGCACCTGTAATCCCACCTACTTGGGAGGCTGAGGCAGGAGAATTGCTTGAACCCGGGAGGAGGAGGTTGCAGTGAGTCAAGATCGCGCCACTGCATTCCAGCGTGGGGGACAGAGCACGACTCCGTCTCAAAAAAAAAGAAAAAAAAAAGAATCCTAAATTTATCAGAGTTAGCCGCCCCTTCACATCTGAAATTAAATCCTTATATATTTGGGTTGCTAAAAGATGATGAAAGGTATGTGACCATCTCACTTTTCTTAACATGCTGCCTCTCTAGTTCTGCTCAGTAAAACCAACCAAGTTTAAAGACAATCTATATACAGTTACGTACCTCTAAATGCAAAATGCAAAATCCAAAATGCTCCAAAATCTGAAACTTTTTGAGAGTCAATTGATGCTCAAAGAAAATGCTCATTAACATCCTGAATTTTCTAATTCGGGATGCTTCAACCAGCAAGTGAGTAGAATGGATGTATATATTCCAAAATCCCAAAAAAAATCCAAAATCCAAAAAACTTCTGGTCCTAAGCATTTTGGATAAGGAATACTCAATTTGTACTATACAAATTCCATCACTTTACTCCACCATTTTTCACAATCCTAACTATAATATAAATTAGGTATGTATTCTGATGTAGGTATGCCTGCAGCTATGCAAACATCCTCCATTACAGAGGTCCTAGCAACACCAATCAGCTTACCTCAAATGGGTTCAAATTGAAGTAAGAGGAACCAGGACGGGTCAGTCTTTCAATCTGATTTTTCGATGTTAGAACCGAGTCTCTTTTCTCTATTTGTTTCACCTAAAATTATGAGGATTAAAAACTTCATTAATAGAATTCAATAACAAACTGAATTGTTTATCTTAACACAACGTTCACTGATATGTTCAACAAACATTTATTTGTGTGTTTACCATGTGCAAGACATTTTGATAAACACTTTGAGAAATTACAACTACCATTTGTTGAATTTTAATATAAAAACCTTACATGTATTTATTAATCTCAACAACCCTATGTGGTAGATACTGCTATTGTACCTATTTCACAGATAAGAATACTGAGGCTTAGAGAAGATAACTGACTTGTTCCCAATTACCCAACTTGTAAGCCAGAATTTTAACCCCAACAGTTTGATCCCACAGCATGCATCAAGAGGATTCAAAGATAAATAAGTCACAGCCTTTAAAGAACTTCCACTTTAATGACAGAAGATGTGCTTGTGTGTGGTTATACTTCATTTACAGCTTTTAATTTTAAGGAAAAAAAAAAAAAGGCTGGGCACAGTGGCACATGTCTGTAATCCCAGCACTTTGGGAGGCCAGGGTGGGCAGATCACGAGGTCAGGAGATGGAGTCCATCCTGGCCAACATGGTGAAACCCCATCTCTACTAAAACTACAAAATATTAGCCGGGCATGGTGGCATGGCCTGTGGTCCCAGATACTCAGGAGGCTGAGGCCGGAGAATCGCTTGAACCCCAGGGATAGGGGTTACAGGGAGCCGAGATCACACCACTGGACTCCAGCAGCCTGGGCGACACCGCGAGACTCCATCTCAAAAAAAAAAAAAAAAAAGAGATTTCTCTGTGGGGGGTAAAAAAGAAAAAAAATTTAAAGAGCAAAAAAAGGAAAAATACAATCACAGTAAGACATAAACTATGAGCAGCATTTAAAACTGTTGATGGGAAGGAACAAATAACTCCACCACCTAATTCTAATAGTGTTAGGAAAAATCCCTGACTTGGCCAGGCGCAGTAGCTGTCACCTGTAATCCCAGCATTGTGGGAGGCTGAGGTGGGTGGATTGCTTGAGCTCAGGAGTTTGAGACAAGCCTGGGCAACACGGCGAAACCCCGTCTCTATTTTTAATTTAAAAAAAAAGAAAGAAAGAAAAAAGAAAAATCCCTGACCTGAAGACAATGCCAGGGAGAACAAGCACCAGGCAGTCCCAGGAAAACATTCTTGGTGTCACTGTCAGAGTTGGAATGCTAGTTGGAATGAATCTCTGGTATGCTATATGTCATCTTTATTCCTATGGCCAAAACAAGGTTGGAAAGCATTTCATTAACATAAAAAGTCATTCCTTCTAGACATCTTCCCTCTTCACTCTAAGAAAACAGGATTTTTTTTCCTCTTTTGTTCACTACCATATCCCCAACACCTAAATAGCACACTAGTACACTTCAAATGTTCAATAAACATCTGTTAAATGAATAAGGCCAGTGTGGTGGCTTATGCCCGTAATCCCAGCACTTTGGGAATCTGAGGTAGGAGGATCACTTGAGCGCAGGAATTCAAGACCAACCTGAGCAACATGGCAAGACCCTATCTCTATTTTTTTAAAAAATGACTGAAGCCTTTTTTCCGGCAGTGACGACCTACCCACACAAGAACATGCCTCTCACAAAGGATCGCCTTCATCCCTCCCCAGAAGAGAAGAGGAAACACAAGAAGAAACGCCTGGTGCAGAGCCCCAATTTCTACTTCATGGATGTGAAATGCCCAGGATGCTATAAAATCACCATGGTCTTCAGCCATGCACAAACGGTAGTTTTGTGTGTTGGCTGTTCCACTGTCCTCTGCCAGCCTACAGGAGGAAAAGCAAGGCTTACAGAAGGATGTTCCTTTAGGAGGAAGCAGCACTAAAAGCACTCTGAATCAAGATGAGTGGGAAATCATCTCAATAAACACATTTTGGATTAAAAAAAAAAATGAAGCATCCTTCCTTAGATATTTTTTCCCATCCAATTTAAACAAACAAAGATTGCTATTTGGTTTTTTGTTTGTTTTTGTTTTTTTGAGAAGGGGTCTTGCTCTGTCACCCAGGGTGTACTGCAGTGACAGAAGACAGATCATGGCTCACTGCAACCTCCACCTCCTGGGCTCAAGTGATCCTCCAATCCTCCCACCTCAGCCGTCAGAGCAGCTGAGACTACAGGTAGCGCCTGCCAGGTGTCTAAACCTAAATTTAGTACTTTGGAGAAACTACTATGTAACAAGCACTGTTACAAATGCAAGAAATAAAAGATGAATGTGATACGGTCCTTAACCCTGAATAGCTCACAGCCTGCTGGGGGGCAACTCCATATCTCAAACCCATGCCAACCTAGAGATCCCATCTTCTGCCTTGTTGAACCCTAAGAAAGATGCTTCCGCTTTATTTTTTTATGAAACGCTTTCTTATACAATAACTTTAGTACTCATGAAAATGTTTATTTTAAAATTAATTCTCTTGTCAAGCACAGTCGCTCATGCCTGTAATCCCAACACTTTGGGAGGCCAAGGCGGGAGGACTGCTTGAGCCCAGGAGTTTCAGACCAGCCTGGGCAACACAGAAAGATCCTGTCACTACAAAGAAATACAAAAATCAGCCAGGCATAGTGGCACGAGCTTGTAGTCCCAGCTACTGATGTGGCAGAATCACTTGAGCCCAGGAGGCAGAAGTTGTGCACTCCAGCTTGGGCAAGAGTGAGACTCTGTCTCAAAATAAATAAATAAAGAGTTTGAGGCAAGTCTGGGCAACATGGTGAAACCCCGTCTCTACCAAAAATACAAAAATTAGCCAGGCGTGGTGGCAGGCACCTGTAATCCCAGCTACTTGGGAGGCTGAGGCGGGAGAATTGCTTGAACCCGAGAGGCGGAGGTTGCAGTGGGCCAAGATCATGCCACGGCACTCCAGGCCTGGGCGACAAGAGCAAAACTCCGTCTCAAAAAAAAGAAGAAGAAGAAGAAGAAGAAGAATTCAATCCAAGTCCAGTCAGGTTAACTATCTTCCAAGAATTTTTATTTTATTTTTTTAGACAGAGTCTCGCTCTGTCGCCTAGGTTGGAGTGCAGTGGTGCTATCTCGGCTCACTGCAAGCTCCGCCTCCCGGATTCACGCCATTCTCCTGCCTCAGCCTCCTGAGTAGCTGGGACTACAGGCATCCGCCACCACGCCCGGCTAATTTTTTGTACTTTTAGTAGAGACGGGGTTTCACCGTGGTCTCAATCTCCAGACCTCGTGATCCGCCCATCTCGGCCGCCCAAAGTGCTGGGATTACAGGCGTGAGCCACCGCGCCCGCCAAGAATTTTTTTTTCTATCCTTTTTTTTCTTCTTTTTAAAGAGACAGGGTCTCACTCTGTCGCCAAGGATGGAGTGCAGTGGTCCGATCATAGCTCACTGCAGCCTCGAGCTTTTGGGTTCCTCCCGCCTGGGCCTCCCAAAGTGCTGGGATTACAGATGTGAGCCACTGTGCCCAGCCCCTTGCAATAATTTAATCTGAGATTCTGACTCAGACAGGGTCTCCCTCTGTCGCCAAGGATGGAGTGCAGTGGTCCGATCATAGGTCACTGCAGCCTCAAGCTTCAGGGTTCCTCCCGCCTGGGTCTCCCAAAGTGCTGGAATTACAGATGTGGGCCACTGTGCCCAGCCCCTTGTAAGAACTTAATCTGAGATTCTGACTCCAAAAGGCATGCTTTTATTTCATTTATTCATTCATTCACTCAACAAATATTTACTGAGCATCCACTAAATACTAGGCGCTGGAGATGCGATAGTAAAGGAGGCTCAGAACATGCCCACTGCTGTCCTAACATACCACCGAGCAAGCTGTAACCTACTGTAAGGCCCCAAACTATTTCACCTCCCTAAACCTCAGGTTCGTCATCTATAAAGGGGGGGTAATATAATGCCTAACTGGCATGATGCACAGTGCCTGGCGTTAGTGAATGGCAGAAACAACCACTAAAACAACTCATTACAGAGGACTAAGAAACGTCTTGGGGGACAAGAAGGCTAAGTCACTCCCAGGAAGGGCCCAGCCTCTGCCAGCCCCCGACTCTGCGGACTTGGGGCACTCTGCCCGCGCGCCCGCACTACTTTGGACGCACTCGCCACCTCCCTCGATAGGTCGAACACCATCCCCTCTTTCGTTGCCCGGGGGATCTCCCAGCAGTTATCAGTGGGAGACGCTCACACACCCCCAGACCCCCGCCACCCCGAAGATTGGACTGAAGGAATCGCCCAACGGTCCAGGCCAGGCGGCCACTGCCTTTGTCCACCGGGAAAGCAGATCTGGGAGAGGTCGCCCCGGTGCCACTACTCCTCACTCTGTGTTCACCTCACTGTAGAAGGTCATAAAGGCTTCCTCGGTGCTGCCTCCGCTGCCCGAAGTCCCGCTCTCTCCTGAAGCCGCCATTTCCCCGGCCCAGCCACCACGTGACCCGTCTGCGCAGGCGTCGCCCCACGTGATTCTTACAGGTCCGCCCCTCTAGCCCCGCCTCCCGTCTGAGAGGTTGTTAAAGGGCTCGCAGCCCAGCCAAGCACTTTAAACCTAGGTGGCCTTTTTAACATTTAAACGAATTACACATAACATATAATTAACCACTTTAAAGTAAATTATTTGCTTAATTTATTGTTGTTAGGTAAAAAAATAATAAAAGAAAAAGTGAATAATTCAGTGAGTTTATTTATTTATTTATTTTTGAGACAGGATCTCTGTGGTCCAGGTTGGAGTCGAGTGGTGCAATCACAGCTCACTGCAGCCTCGACCTCCCAAGCCCAAGCGATTCTCTCACTTCAGCCTTCGGTAGCTGGGACTGCAGGCACGCACCACCATGCCCGGCTAATTTTATGTACTTTTGTAGAGACGGGGTCTTGCCATGTTGCCCAGGCCTCCGGAAGTACAGGAATTACAGGCATGAGCCACTGCGCCCAGTGGTCTTTAGAACATTCACAATGTTCTGCAACCACCATGTCTATCTGGTTCCAAAATAGTTTCATCACCTCAAAAGGAGACTTAGTACCAAAGTTTTTTTTTGTTTTGTTTTGTTTTTGTTTGTTTTTTTTGTTTGTTTTGTTTTGAGACAGAGTCTCACTCTGTCACCCAGGCTGGAGTGCAGTGGCGCGATCTTGGCTCACTGCAACCTCCGCCTCCCGGTTCCAGTGATTCTCCTGCCTTAGCTTCCCGAGTAGCTGGGATTACAGACACACACCACCATGCCCGGCTAATTTTTATATTTTTAGTAGAGACGGATTTTCACCATGTTGGCCAGGATTGTCTACAATCTCCTGACGCCGTAATCCGCTCGCCTTGGCCTCCCAAAGTGCTGGGATTACAGGCGTGAGCCACCGCGCCTGGCCAAGGAGACCTAGTACCTATTAAGCAGTTACTCTCTATTCGCCCGCTCTCCCCAGTCCCTGAAAACAAGCAATCTGTGTTTTATCTATATGGATTTACCTATTCCAGATATTTCACGTAAATGGAATTAAACAAAATACCAGGCAGGGCTGCTATTTTCTTAACTAAAATATGATCAATAAAGCCAGTTTTACCATTTCATACAAAACAAAGAAGGTTTGTTTTGTTTTGTTTTGTTTTTTTGAGACAGAGTCTTGCTCTGTTGCCCAGGCTGGAGTGCAGTAGCATGATCTTGGCTCACTGCAGCCTCTGCCTCCCAGGTTCAAGTGGTTCTCCTGCCTCAACCTCCTGAGTAGCTGAGATTACAGGTACATGTCACCACACTCAGCTAATTTTTGTATTTTTAGTAGAGATGGGGTTAGTCAGGCTGGTCTGGAACTCCTGACCTCGTGATCCACCCGCCTCGGCCTCCCGAAGTGCCAGGATTACAGGTATGAGCCACCACACCCAGCCCCAAAGAAGGTATTTTTATAATCATCAATCAGGTAGATAATCTGGCCCAATTCTCTCATCTAAAAAAGAAGAAACAGAGAAGAGAAAATGACTTAGAGAAGAGCTATAAACTTCATGAAAGTAAAAATTACTATTGTCTTGTTCACATTCATTAGATGGATGAAGGGAGGTCAAGGTTAAGCTTTCCCTAGACAGGATCCTACTTATCCGTTTTGTTTTTTTTTGACACAGTTTCCCTCTTGTTGCCCAGGCTGGAGTGCAATGGCGTGATCTTGGCTCACTGCAACCTCAGCCTCCCGGGTTCAAGCATTCTCCTGCCTCAGCCTCCCCAGTAGCTGGGATTACAGGCATGTACCACCGCTCCCAGCTAATTTATTTTTTATTTTTATTTATTTATTTATTTATTTATTTATTTATTTATTTATTTTGTGACAGTTTCTCTCTTGTTGATCAAGCTGGAGTGCAATGACGTGATCTTGGCTCACTGCAATCGCTGCCTCCCAGGTTCAAGCGATTCTCCTGCCTCCGCCTCCCGAGTAGCTGAGATTACAGACATGTGCCACCATGCCCGGCTAATTTTTTGTATTTTGTTTTAGTAGGGATGGGGTTTCTCCATGTTGGTCAGGCTGGTCTCGAACTCCCAGCCTCAGGTGATCTGCCCACCTCAGCCTCCCAAAGTGCTGGGATTACAGGTGTGAGCCATCGTGCCCAGCCTGCTGTTTTCTATTGCATTGCACCACATTGCCAAAAGTGTAGTTATTAAGCCCATTCAACAATATGTTGCTAACAAAAAAAAACAAACTAAAATATTTTTAAAAGGTTTATTCTGAGCCAATATGAGTAACCATAGCTTGGGGAAACACAGTCTTAAGAGGTCCTAGGAAATTGTGCCTGAGGTGGTCAAGTTATAATTTGGGTTTTCTTTCTTTTTTTTTTTTGAGACGGAGTCTCGCTTTGTCACCAGGCTGGAGTGCAGTGGCACGATCTCGGCTCGCTGCACCCTCTGCATCCCAGGTTCAAGAGATTCTCCTGCACATGCCACCACACCCAGCTAATTTTTATATTTTTAGTAGAGATGGAGTTATACCATGTTAGCCAGGATGGTCTCAATCTCTTGACCTCGGGATCTGCCCGCCTTGCCCTCCCAAAGTGCTGGGATTACAGACATGAGCCACCGCGTCCCACCTATAATTTGGTTTTTCTCGAGGGTTGCTTTTGTTTTGAGACAGAATCTTGCTCTGTTACCCAGCAGGCTGGAGTGCAGTGGTGCCATCATAGCTTATTGTCATCTTGAACTCCTAGGCCCAAGATATCCTCCCAAGTAGCTAGGATTACAAGGCATGTACCACCATGCCAGGCTAATTTTAGGGGGAAAAGGGGCTAGAGATGATGTCTCACTACGTCACCCAGGGTGGTCTCAAACTCCTGGCGTCAAGTGATCCTCCTGCCTTGGCCTCCCAAAATACTGGGATAACAGGCATGAGCCACCGAGCCCACCCCACAGTTTGGTTTCATACATTTCAGGGAGACAGTAGTTACAGACAAATACATAAACAAATACATGAAAGGTATACATTAGTTTGGCCCAAAAAGGCAGGATACCTTGAAGCACGGGATCAGAGTTTATAGGTGGATTCAGAGATTCTTTAATTTGCAATTGGTTAAAAGAGTAAAGTTTAGTCTAAAAATTTGGAGTCAGCGGGCGGGGCGCAGTGCCTGTAATACCAGGACTTTGGGAGGCCAAGGTGGACAGATCACAAGGTCAAGAGATTGAAACCATCCTGGCCAACATGGTGAAACCCCGTCTCTAATAAAAATACAAAAATTAACCAGGCATGGTGCCGTGGGACTGTAGTCCCAGCTACTTGGGAGGCTGAGGCGGGAGAATCACTAACCCAGGAGGCCTAGGTTGCAGTGAGCAGAGATTGTGCCACTGCACTCCAGCCAGGCAACAGAGCAAGGCTCTGTCTCAAAAAAAAAAAAAAAAAAAAGAAGAAGAAGAAAAGAAAAAAACTGGAATCAGCAGAAAGAAATGTTTAAGATGTTTAAGACAAGGAAGTCTGTTAGCCAATACATTGGGTTGGAGTGACCTCTAAAGGTGTGTGACTTAACTGTCATATGACATAGCCTTAAGTCCTGTTTATAATTTGGTACCTTATTTACACAAAGAGTGCATTTTGCTAAGCTTATGCTCTTTATTTCAACATTAATGCTGGTCAGTTGTTGTGCTTAAACACCAAAAGAGGGGGACATAACAAGATGTGCTTCTGCAAAAAACTAGCCAGGCGAGGTGGCGGGCGCCTGTAGTCCCAGCTACTCGGGAGGCTGAGTCAGGAGAATGGCGTAAACCCAGGAGGCAGAGCTTGCAGTGAGCTGAGATCCGGCCACTGCACTCCAGCCTGGGCGGCAGAGCGAGACTCCGTCTCAAAAAAATAAAAAATAAAAAATAAAAATAAATAAAAATTTAAAAAAAATAAGATGTGCTTCTGACCTCCCTTACTGTCATGGCTGGAAATTCAGTTTTTTAGGTTTTGTTTGTTTGGGCTTTTTGTTTTGTTTTGTTTTTGAGACCGAGTCTCACTCTGTTGCCCAGGCTGGAGTGTGGTGGCACGATCTCGGCTCACTACAAGCTCTGCCTCCCGGGTTGCAGTGATTCTCCTGCCTCAGCCTCCCAAGTAGCTGGGACTACAGGCACACGCCACCACGCCTGGCTAATGTTTGCATTTTTTAGTAGAGACAGGGTTTCACTATATTGGCCAGGCTGGTCTCGAACTTCACCTTGTGATCCAATCGCCTCGGCCTCCCAAAGTGCTGGGATTACAGGCGTGAGCCACCGCACCCGGCCCAGTTTTTTGTTTTTTGGGTTTTTTTGAGACCAATATCACTCTGTCGCCCAGGCTGGAGTGCAGTGTTGGCGGGATCTTGGCTCACTGCAACCTCCGCCTCCCGAGTTCAGGCCGATTCTCCTGTCTCAGCCTCCTGAGTAGCTGCGATTACAGGCGCATGCCACCACACCCGGCTGATACTTGTTTTTTTAAGTAGAGACGGGGTTTCCCCATGTTGGCCAGGCTGGTCTCGAACTCCGGACCTCAGGTGATCCACCCACCTCGGCCTCCCAAAGTATTGGGATTACAGGCGTGAACTACCGCGCCCGGCCAGAACACTGGCACTTCTCATAACAAATGAACGCGATTTATGTATATCTAAGCCGCGGCACATTGGACGTCGGTATCCCGGACATCAGCATCCGGGACACAGCTCCCAAACCCCAAATTCCCCCATTTTATTGATGGTAACAGGCCAGGGAAGGGAAAACTTCCTTTGGGCTTTGACTATCAACGACTTTAGGGTTGAAATCGTGGGCTGGAGGTGAACGCCACGCCTCATTCTGATGGGTCCAAGAGCCGAAATTTCGGCTTCTAGCACTCTCCTCACCCAGCTCTCCAAATTCCCCCATCATTCCTCTTTCCAGTCCTTTGGCCCTGAGCCCTTGCTAGTTGGCTAAGAATAAACTCGTCTCTTGCTCGGGATTCGCTGTGAGCTCCGGAGAGCCCGCCTCCGTTCTCCCGTGATTCGCTACTCCTGTGTTCATCCGCCACTCCGTCGACGAGATTGGGTGCTTGGCCGTCCCCGCGCCATTAGCGCGTAACGAGGTACAGCTTGCTGCGGCAGAGACGCCAGAGGTGCAGCTCCAGCAGCAATGGCAGTAACGGCGTTGGTGGCGCGGACGTGGCTTGGCGTGTGGGGCGTGAGGACCATGCAAGCCCGAGGCTTCGGCTCGGATCAGGTACGCTGCGGCAATGTCCGCTGCTCCAGCCCCGAGGGCGGATCCCATCTTCGCTTCCCTACTTTTATCAGTGTCCCTGTCTCTCTGCAGTCCGAGAATGTCGACCGGGGCGCGGGCTCCATCCGGGAAGCCGGTGGGGCCTTCGGAAAGAGAGAGCAGGCTGAAGAGGAACGATATTTCCGGTGAGGCTCACCGGGTCCCAAGTCCAGCCCTAGATCTCCCAGGGCCTTCCAATCCTTAAACTGCCAGTCGCCCCACCCGTTTCCTTGGTGCCTTGGGCGCCCCATCCCCCAACAGAACTCCCGGGCCCCAATCTGGTATACCCTAACCCTTGATGTCCCAAGTTGCCACTTATAGGGCACTCCCAGTTCCCTGCACAACAGTTTCAGGCCCCCAAACCATTTCTACCGGCAGGTCTCCAAAACATCCCACGGCTCAACTCCTCCTTTGTCATTACCATCTCCCGCGTGGAGTTCTCCTCGGGTGGTGCGAAACGCCCCCAGATTCTTCGCACAGTATCTAGATCCGACCGTCTAACACTTGCCTCCCAGCCTGACTCCCTCGGCCCTCACCCACCTGTCACCCCCTCTACGCTCTCCTTCCTCCCCAGCACGCCTTAGCTTTGCAAGCCTGCATGCATTCAGGCTTCTCAGGTGTTTCTAGACCCCCGACTCCGCAAGAGTGAGGATCATGGGAGCTGGTCATGGGAGCTACTTAGGGTTGGACTACACCATCTCCTAAAGGCTTTTGCCCTACTCAGCCCAGCCTAGATCTGTGGATTTCCCGCTCCTGCTTAGAAGTATGGAGTGGGCTGGGCCTCCCTTTACCAGCCCTGAGTTATCTTTAACTGACTTCTGTCCACTCTGGAGAGCAGTGAGGAATTAATCTTGCTTTTGCTTGTCCTTTGGCCTTTCACTTCTGCCTTCTGTTGAGAATTATCACCATGACACCTGCCATACCGTATAGAGAGCCAAGGTACTGCTGTTAGAGACTATCTAATTGATCCCCTTCATTTTGTAGTTAAGGAAAACTGAGGCCTAAATGTGGCCAAACCAACATTGTAATCCAGTCCCTTCTTGGTACCTAAATTGAACTGCCAAATACTGCCCATGCAGGAGACCTTTTATTGGCCTTACAGCGGGCCATTCATTTCTATAGGCAAAGAAAGCTCTAGACAGATTGGAATAGGAAATGGATATTGGCCTTTTAACCACACCCCTTTGTCCCCATTTTGTTCCTTTTTTTTCCCCCCCCTAAAGGGGTTCCCTGGGTTGTTCCCCTCATAAGGTATTAGGGACTTGTGTCACATCTCTCTGGAGTTTTCTATTTTAAAGAGGAATCTGAAAGCAATAAGATCTTAATGTGGTTGTTCCCCTCATAAGGTATTAGGGACTTGTGTCACATCTCTCTGGAGTTTTCTATTTTAAAGAGGAATCTGAAAGCAATAAGATCTTAATGATGGAATTTAAGCCACTAGCACCAGTGAAATCATTTTGATCTTCTTAAGATGACTACACCTCAATTTAAGATGGGTTATTCTTTCACTAGTTGAGGAGTAGAAGAGGATGACCAGCCAGACTCCCATGGAACTGGGACTCCTATTCCTTGCTTAGACATTACGGGTTATGCTTAGAGATCTCTTTGGGGTGAAGGATTGAAATTAAACCCTGAGCCACCGTGTCCTTGTAGAGCACAGAGTAGAGAACAACTGGCAGCTTTGAAAAAACACCATGAAGAAGAAATCGTTCATCATAAGAAGGAGATTGAGCGACTGCAGAAAGAAATTGAGCGGCATAAACAGAAGATCAAAACGCTAAAACATGATGATTAAGTGCACACAGTTCCCCATAGAATGGCACATGTCACTGCCCACTTCTGTGTAGACATGGTTCTGGTTTAATTAATATTTGTCTGTGTGCTACTAACAGATTATAATAAATTGTCATCAGTGAACTGTGTTTGATGCCTTCTTCTATCTGGAAGAGATAGACGGAAAGACACTAATGGACTGCTGAAATGGATTAGAGGGGTTCCTGCATCCAGGAGCCCACAGAAACGCACAGTGTGATAAGTGCTATGAAACAACACGAGTTGGGGGGATAGGTGTGACACAGACAAGGTACCCCCCCAGTCTAATTAGAGGTGTTCAGAGAAAGCTTCTTGAAGGATAAATCCCAATCTAAAGCATAAAGATCAGGAGGAGCCTGGAGATCCGAAGGAGTCATTGCTTCAAAAGATACAGTTGGGCCAGGGGCGGTGGCTCATGACTGTAATCCCAGCACTTTGGGAGGCCAAGGTGGGCGGATCACCTGAGGTCAGGAGTTCAAGACCAGCCTGGCCAAAATAGTAAAACCCTGTCTCTACTAAAAATACAAAAATTAGCCAGGTGTGGTGGCATGCACCTATAGTCCTAGCTACTCAGGAGGCTGAGGCAGGAAAATCAGTTGAACCTGGGAGGTGTAGGTTGCAGTGAGCTGAAACTGTGCCACTGCACTCTAGTCTGGGTGACAAAATGAGACTCCGTCTCAAAAAAAAAAAAATACAATTGAAAGTACCATCAGTTAAAACAGCATTTTGCATGTTTAAAATGGTTTAGAGGAACCTAATATGAGCTAGTCATCCATGTTCTAATTTTGTAGATTGAGAGAACTAGAATTAGAAATCATGTGATTTATACAGTCACTCAGCACCTTGGCAGTAAGACTTGTGTCCAGGTTTTTTGACTCCTAAACCAAGTCTGTTAATAGCAGAAAATCAGAATTATTTCTTAGGTTATATTTTGCTTTGCCAAGTGTGTTTTTGTTTCAAATTAGACTTGAGGGCCTAGTATAACTAAATTATTATACAAACTAGTTGTGTAACTCCTCTAGGCAAAAAAATTTGAGGTGACATTTGGGCCATTAGCAAAACGTTTTCAGTTCACCAGTTCAGTAGAGTATTTGCCCAGGATTGTAATGAGTTATTTGTTCTAAGACCCTATCTATCTCACAAGGGCCTCTAGGACCATTGAGTGATAAAAGCTTGGAGAAGTTGCATTGACCTTGTCCATACAGACAAAATACTAGATGATTTGACCTGCCCATGAAACTGAACACAGCCAGGTGTGGTGTGTGCCTGTGGTTCAGCTACTTGGCAGTCTGAGGCAAGACGACTGCTTGAGCCCAGGAGTTCCAGACATGCCTGGGCAGCGTTTTAACCCCATCTCTTTTAAAAAAGAAAAAAAAAAAAGAAACTCTAAACTTTGAATTATAATGATTATAATGTTGCTGAATCTCAGTTCTTACTGAGGCCTCAGTAGTGCCTTGCAAGTGGCCAGCAACAAAATAACCTGAAAAGATGAAGTTCAAAAAACAATCATACTAAATCAAATGCCTTTTATTTTAACATTATTAACAGTACAACACTTGAAAAGTTTAAAAATTGGAAACAAGTATTAGCAAACATCCTTCATTTTGCATATTTGTAACCAAAAAAAGGTATACAAAATCCCCTAATTTGTACATGATAGTGTTTTTTTGACTTATAATCAACAATTGCCTTACTAAGAGTGATGTTCCTGAATTGTTTCTTCAGTAAAGGTGTACCATAGGCTGTGTGCGATGGCTCATGCCTATCATCCCAGCACTTTGAGAGGCTGAGGTGGGTGGATCACCTGAGGTCAGGAGTTCAAGACCAGCCTGGCCAACATGGCAAAACACCATCTCTACTAAAAATACAAAAATTAGCCGGGTGTGGTGGTGGGCACCTGTAATCCCTGCTGCTAGGGAGGCTGAGGCAGGAGAATCATGAACCTGAGAGGCAGAGGTTGCAGTGAGCTGAGATTGTGCCGCTGTACTCCAGCCTGGGAGACAGAGTGAAACTCCATCTCAACAACAACCAAAAAAAGATTAAATAGGCTAATTTAAATATATCTGAACTTTGTGAAAATGGTAACTCATGAACTTTTTGTTATGATATACCTGTGGTTAATTTTTCTATCATGCTGCAGTAAAAGCAAGATGTAAATACTGAGTAATGTCACAAACATGTTGGAATCCTAAAAGACTTTATGTGACATGAGCCAGTAACCACAGAAAGAATAGCACAGGTCATAGGTGGTTCTTAGAATCAGGATAATTTGGAAAGTACTACAGCAGTGGTTCCATAAGCCAGCAGTGTCAGCAGCACCTGGGAACTTGTTAGAAATGCAAATTCTCAGCGGGGCGTGGTGGCTCATGGCTGTAATCCCAGCACTTTGGGAGGCCAAGGTGGGTGGGTCACAAGGTCAGGAGTTTGAGACCAGCCTGGCCAATATGGTAAAACCCCGTCTCTACTAAAAATCCAAAAATTAACTAGGCATGGTGGCGGGCGCCTGTAGTCCCAGCTACTCGGGAGGCTGAGGCAGAAGAATCGCTTGAATCCGGGAGGCGGAGGTTGCAGTGAGCGAAGATCGCGCCATTGCACTCCAGTCTGGGCAACAGAGTGAGACTCCATCTAAAAAAAAAAAAAAAAAAAAGAAATACAAATTATCAGGCCCCACCACAAACCTGCTGAAACTGGGGGGTTTGACTCAGCAATCCTTTAACAAGCCCTCCAGTTGGTTCTGTTACGTATGTACTGAAGTTTGACAATAATTGTAGTACAGGTAGTTTCTCATGGAATCTGCTGGCATTTTTGGGTAAACACTTTTATAAAGACAGATTATTAGGTATAATAAAAGTAACTATATAGTTTAATGTAGTTCATAATATGATTGTGACTTTAGAATTTAGAAATAAATGGTTCTTGTATGGAGCTTGTTAACATTTGAGAACATAGCATTACACAGAATACAATTTGGGAAATACTTCACTTGTATAATATATTTATTGCCTTAGTCAAAATTCTTTTTGTCCTCCACCTCCCACTGCTTCACTTGACTAGCCAAAAAAATAAAAAATAAAATCCTCTTTGTTTACATGTAACAGAAACCAACATTGGCTGTCTAAAGGGGAAGAAAAAGAGTAATTTACTGTAGGAAATAGGGGCTATTGTCTCACAGAATCTCAAGAAGACTTCAGCAAACTAGACTCAGGAAAGAAAGGGACCGCAGTAGTCAGAGGAGTTCTGTGAACTACAGGAGCAGGTCTAAGAAACTTCCAAACCCTCTGTGTCAGAATCGTGCTGTCTGGGCTGGGTGCAGTGGCTCCCCCTCTAATCCTAGCACTTTGGGAGGCTGAGGCAGATGGATCACTTGAGCCCAGGAGCTTAAGACCAGCCTGGGCAACATGACCAAACCCCGTCTCTGCAGAAAAAAAAAAAAAAAAAAGCCAGGAGTGGTGGTGCAGGCCTGCAGTCCTAGCTACCTGGGAGGCTGAGGTTGAAGTGAGCCATGATCACAGCACTGTACTCCAGCCTGGGCAACAGAGTGAGACCTTGTTTCCAAAAAAAGAAAAAAGAATCATTGGGGTGCTTTTTATATTTTTATATATATATATTTGAAAGAGTTCTATAGAATTTTATGCAGTGAAGTTATTTAACAATCGCAGAATTAATGGAGCACTTTAAAATTATTTGTTCATTAAATCTCTTATTTTTAGCAAATAAATCCATTCCATTAGTTTAATTTTATAACCAAAGTAACTGAAGCAGGGAATTGTGAAACAACTTTCACAAGGTCGTATGATCAGGTTTGCGCTGATCAAGGTCTTCACTTCAGTACTCTTGCTCCTACAACCTTGAGTTGCAGTTCCAATCCAGTGCTTCAGCTGCCTATTAGCTCTCTCCTCAATGTGGGGAAGTGGGAGGTACATGGCTACCAGGGGATGGGTGGTAAAGGCAAGGGCTCCTGGAAGTAAATATAGAAATGCCAGTGGTTGGTGTTGGCATTAGCTTTTTGGCTGTGACATAAACCCCATCAGCATGTCCATGCATGCCTAAATAGAGCCTAGTTTGAGATTTTCACGACAGTAAGTTTAAAGTTGTAGTTCTCAGGCCGGGCACAATGTCTCATGTGTATAATACCAGCACTTTGGGAGACCGAGGCAGGCGGATCACCTGAGGTCAGGAGTTTGAGAGCAACCTAGCCAATGTGGTGAAACCCCATCTCTACTAAAAATAGAAGAATTAGCCAGGCATGGTGGCACACACCTGTCCAGCTACTTGGGAGACTGAGGCAAAAGAATCACTTGAACCCGGGAGGTGGAGGTTGCAGTGAGCCGAGATTGCCCCACTGCATTCCAGCTTGGGCGACAGGGAGACTCCAACTCAAAAACAAGTAAAATAAAATAACAAAGTTGTAGTTCTCAGCACAGGTGGCACATTGACATATGTGGAGAGCTTTAAAACCTCCTCTGCAGCTGAGCACGGTGGCTTACGCCTGTAATCCCAGCACTTAGGGAGGCTGAGGCGGGTGGATCACGCGGTCAAGAGATCAAGACCATCTTGGCTAACATGGACAAACCCCGTCTCTACTAAAAATACAAAAATTGGCCGGGTGCGGTGGCTCAAGCTTGTAATCCCAGCACTT